CACATACAGCAACTAGAAGGATGTGCAACTATGACATACAACTATCTACTGGGGCTTTGGGGAGAAAAAGGGGGAAAAAAAGAGGAGGATTGGCAGTAGATGTTAGTTTAGGGCTGATCTTCCTCACAAAAAAAAAAAATGTTTAGGTTATACAAATTGGAAGCATGGCTATTCTTTTGTATATAATAAAGTACAAAAATAGTCTACCTTAAGGTTATGATTAGTAACTGTACCATTACCGCCTTCAAATATTTTGAACTGATGCTGTTAAAGAAAAAAAAAAAGTCTGGGGGCCAGCCCCGTGGCCTAGTGGTTAAGTTCAGTGCGCTGTGCTCTGGTGCCCAGGCTCAGTTACCCAGAGACCTACACTATGGGTTGGCAGCCATGCTGAGGCAGCCACCCATGTACAAAATAGAGGAAGATTGGCACAGATGTTAGCTCAGGGCGAATCTTCCTCAGGAAAAATAAAATCTGACCAAGATGGGGAAATTTGATAGGAAAAAAAAGTATTTCAGTCTCAAATTAGGACTTAAGGAGGGAGAAGTTTATGAGAAAGTACGGAACTACTGAAATTAACATTCAATGGTTGTTTGTGTGAACTTTCAAACTCTTACTTTACCTTCCCACCCGGTGTCAGCCACTTATCAGTTTATAATAATTTTAATAGTTAATATTTACTGAGTGTTTACAACGTGCCTAACACTGTTCTTAAGTGCTTTGCACATGCTATGTCAAATTCATAATAATCCTATGACGTAAGTACTGTTACCACCTCCGATTTTCGGATGAGGAAACTGAGGGCCAGAAAGGTTCCCTGACTGACCTGAGGTCCACAGGGCTAAAGCAGCTGAGTCAGGATTCAGATCCCACGTTCCTTGCCTCTGCTCCGTACTTCTTTCTCAACCGCAGTCCCCACCTCTCCTGGTGTGCCTTGCTTTATCTTCAAGTCTGAGCCTCATGTCTTGAACTGTGTGTGCCTAGTTGTGAACATATGCCTTTGTTTGGTTTATAACACTTTGGTTTCCTCCAGGGCTAATCAGATGGTCCCTTGCAGAGATCAGTGATTCTGAGCCACAGTAACAATAAACAAAAGGATAGAAAAAGATAAATATAGGAAAGCTGGGTGGTACAGAACAAGTAAGTAGTGTAGTAGGGGAAAAAAAAAGGTTGGTGGGCGTGTCCACAAGATAACAGTTATAAATTAAAATGCACAATGAACTAGCTTCTGTAGTAATAACAAGTATTTGTATAGCACTTTGCACTTAGCACGTACTATGTTTATGAAGTTTAGGAAGTACTATTATGAAACTATTCTGTTTTTACAAATGAGGAAACTACACAGTAGAGTAAGTGACTTGCTCAGAATCACTTAGCTGTGTTTCTAATTGAAACTGGAAGAAAATATAGGCAGGTTTAATAATGAAGATAGCAAATAGGATATGAGATGCACTTTATTTAGATGAACCCAGAGTCAGCAATTCTAAACAGAAGTCCATGAGCAAACTCTCCCTAGGACCTCACTTACTTGGCCAACATATATTAAACACCTAAATGTGGTTGGGTGCTGGTCTTCAAAATTTAATAAGATATGGTCTCTTTGCTCCAGATACTTGCAGTCAGATACCATGAAATCAAAAAGGGTTGTTTAGTAATAAACCCTAGAAAAACCCTCTGATATCAAAGTCAAAGTGAAGATTAAGAGGGAGAGAAAATAAATTCACATTTATTGAGTGCCTGTTCAATCCTTGCCAAAACCCCAAGAGATAGGTATTATTAGCCCTTTTGTTAATAGATGGGGGGATAAAATGAGCAATACGTGTATTATTCAAGGTTACACAATTAGTAAATGGCAGAGATAGAATGGGATTTACACCTGAGTCTATTTGAATCCAGCCTCTTCCTACTAGATCACTCTGCTTTCCCTCAGAAAGGAACATTGTTTATCCCATTTATGTGCAATTATACACGAGTGTGTGTGCTTGCACACGCACACATAGGTGTCTGGAAATATTGATGGCGTTTTGGGTGATCTTTATTGTCTTCATGCTTTCCAGTATTGTCTTCATTTTCCACCTTTGCGTAAGAAACAAAACATTTAAAAAACAAAAAGGAAAGACTGGAAGAACCAAAGAAAAGCAGTAGCAGTGTGGAATTGCTCAATTTGATTAGGAATTAACATAACTGAAACTTACAGAGGCACCTTTTGTCAA